AAATATTGTAAAGTTGTAGTCATAAAATGTCTCAAATATTTGATTATTAGAGATATTTGATTATTTTTTCCGCTCTTGATGTTTGTTGAGTAAAGTATAAATAACAAATGTGTTCTTACAAATAGCTTAAGCTTTTTATGGCAGTATAAATAACAAATGTGTTCTTGCTGTTTCCGTGTTTTTTTGTAGTGTTAAAAACAAAATGTGTCAAAGAATTCAACGGAGACAAAGTTAGTCTTACAGAGTTTAGAAATTGAAACAAAATTTTGTTGCAGACTTGGAACGCACAACACATCAGACAAGAGAAGAGACCGACTATTTGAAGGTAAAGAGACTGACCCAGTGTGTGAAATACGAAGAGACTTACCATCGCCCAACATTATCTCATTAGGCTCTGTGTAGTCAGCCAGCGTGTGAAGGGACATGGCATCATTCACAGTGTGATGCGAGGCCCTAGAGTCCATGAGTCACGGTTGCGTGGGCGTAGTAGTAGTAGAAGTAGCGTGAACTGTAGGTGACTGATGCCCGGTACTTTGCGGCTCGAGCACAACCACATTATTTTCCTTCAAGAATTTGGCTAGTTTCCGGCAGAATTTGGTGTCATGCCCGGGATAGTCACAGTAATTACAATACCGACTAGGTCGGCTTTCAGAATTCCTCGACTGGTTCTGGCGCCCATTTGAGAATGCAGAACCACCTCTGCCACGCCGATTGGGACTTTGAGATTGAGAGTCAGCAGGGCTATTAAAATGTCGTTGTGTGACATTAGCAGTATGCATATGAATATGCGAGGCCGCTTCGTTATCTTTCAATAGTCTCTCGTAGTTGGTGAGAATGTCATGCAGCTCACGAAACGAGATAGAACCCGTTCGAACGCGAAGAGCCGCCACAATTGAATTGTATTCATCGCCAAGTTGCGTGAATATATGGACCACGAGGTCTTCTTTCGTGACTGGACTTTGGGAAAGAGCCAAATCGTCGGCAATTGCTCGCCTATCCTTCATATACGATTCAACAGACCGGTTGGATTTGAGATTTTTGGCTAGCTTCGCTTTCAACGAAACTACACGACCCCGAGACGCAGCGGCACAGCTGGTGGACAAACAAGTCCATGCATCGCATGCATAAGCAGCAGATGAAATGACCGGCTGCAAAATATCTGAGAGACTACCCAGGATGGCACTTAGGATAATTTGATCCTGTCTGAACCAAATAGTGTAGGCAGGATTCAACACAGTGTGAGCGTCATCGGAATACTTAACCAGAGTTGTAGTAAAACCCGTGACATAACCGAGAAGGTCAAGTCCTATGAGCGTGGACTCTACTTATTTCTTCCAAATAGGGAAATTTACAGAGGTAAGCTTGAGTGGTAAGTGAGCCGGAGCATGGATGTGAATGATGACTGGGGGGGTTAGCAACAGCCATGATTGACGAAAAGGGAGGAGGGGAGGGAAAACAAATTTTCGTTAGAGTTGGCTATGATACCATGTGAGAATATGAACTTGTGTAATTTATTCATCGTAAACCAAAGCATTTAAATAAGATACAGAGCCATGAAAGAAGGAGCAGTTACACATGAACCACAAGACTAGGCAAATACAAAATAAAACAGAGACTAGACTAAGTCTTAACAGAGCCCATGTCGCCGGTAAGTGTTCGTTGCTTGCCAAAGAGACGATAACAACATGAACCACAATCAACCATACCTCGCTAAGTTCCCTAAGCAATAAATCTTCAAAGGTGGATAACAAAAAGAGAGATGCCCCACAGTCTGCAAGGACCCCATAGATCACGCACATCTCAAATTCAAAATGACTGGAAAAATCCCACTCCAGCCACCAAACTCCATGACGCCATAACGAACCCATTAAATCCATCGGGGTGAACCAGACATCAGGCATCACCAACCGACCGTACCCTTCCACACCAGATTTTTCAAGTTACCAAAGTCATCACACCGTCCAGGGCATCCACCCACAAAGGGGTCACCAGAGTCGTGATCATAAACACCTTATGGCTGACAAGGGAGAGCTCTTGCCATGTAACCCAAAGGGAAGAAAAACAAACAGAGTCACTGCCTCACCCAAACGACTACAACAGCTCGCCCAACTTCACAAGGATATTCGGCATTAAGACCCACAGAATTTTTTGAACCTCAAGACGCACCACCCAATCTACAAGAACATCAGTCGCCATGAAACATGGAAGTCCAAAGAAGGAAACAAGAAAACACGTCAGTGTATTTGGAACAACCTTCAATCAATAAACGGGGTTGGTGTAAACCTTTCAGACCACCAAGCATACTCAGACCACAACGAAGGAAGTAGAGTCGACAATAACAGACCCATCGGAAATCAATACCTAACCACTTTGCCGGAACCATCTTCTTGTTCGGATGAAGAAAAAAGACCATCGAGAGCACCCCCGGACCCAAAAAATCACAATGAAAAACATAGGGGAAAAAAATAATAAAATCTCCGTAGAAAACCTCACCGGAAAATCTACAGAAAATCCCTCGCCGGAGAAGACCTCTTGGTCGCATGAAGCTTTTTTCGAACCAGTGATAAAACCGTGAAACATTGACCATGTCTACAGTTGCTAGTGGGCCACCGTAATCAACACTTTCACCACCATCAAAATTCCAAAAATATAAATGCATTGCGCACGTCTTTTGTGATAATCCAATCCGAAACAATTAACAGATTCATATTTCAGCAGTGAAAATTCGAAAAGGAGCAAAGAGAAGTGTAGAGCTCTAGAGAGAAGTTAGAGACTTTTTTTTTTTAGAGAGACAAACTTCTTACCACACTTCTATTATAACAAATAACTTTTTAACATTAAACAAAGTCGTTTTAAACCGTGATCCACACAACTGTTATAATTTGTCACTATTTTCAAATGGAATTTGATCAAAAAATTATAAATTTAATTTATGACACCAGCAAAATTTATCTAATAAATTCTCAAATAATAATTACAAGTAAAAGGGAAAAAAAGGGTCTTAGCCAATGTGTGCCACCCCAAAATTAGCCATGACCACGGTTCGGTTCGAACCGTGCACTATTGGAACGGACCGAAACCCAACAAATTCCAGTTCCGGTTCTAGAAAATCTGGAACCGAAACCGGGTGGTTCCAATTCCAAACCCGTGAAATTAAAAAAATATCTATAAAAATTAAGCTTCATATTTTAATTATTTCCTTAAAAATAAAATGGCCAGTAGGCCTGGCTCCTACTTCCATGGCAATTTTATTTTTAATTTATTTATTACATTGTACTATCTATTCATACATACTTTGTCAACCTTTTGAAGCACAACCACTAAGGTTCGATCTCATGACCTCCTATATGGGAGAGTCACTACATGTCATCTGATCACAAGGTGCTTGGCCGTAGATCGTTGCTAATAGTTGAAAAGTGTTTAGCCTAATTCTTTAATATCATTAACAAGGGAACCTAAAAGCGAAGAGTTATCATCTCCCACTCTCATTTGGTTAACATTTCGCTCCCTTTCTGTCACCGTCTCCATTCCAATCACAATAAACATGGTGTTAATGCAGGATCTTGTATCACGCCATGTAGAATCCTCAAGATCACCCCTTATCGACTTGTTACAGGGCTTATTGAAGTTTGATCCATCTAAGCGTCTCACCGCTAAAGAAGCACTTAACCATCCTTTCTTCAGAACTCCAGTTTCTAGAGAGGTTACGAATGATAAGCTACTTCGGTTCGTATATCAATGATGATAGTTTGGTTAAAATTGATGCCCAAAGACTTGAATATGTGGTTTGGTCCAACAATACAATCACATTGCAGGTGTCTCGCTGTGAATCGGTACTATTTGATGAATTATAATTATTTTGCTTTTCTGCTGATCTTTCTTGTTTTATATGCATTTTGTAGGAGATAGAGCCACCTGAAACACTTGTGTGTAGCCTAAGCCCTACCAGAAGCAAACTCTTTACTGGATGTCAGAATTGGAGAAGGGAACTAAGGTAGAGTAAACAGCCAAAGTTTTGCATCCATGTTGGGCATCATATCGAATTTTTGATGAGTATGCACTTTTCTTGGGATATAAAATAAGATTTCAAAACATTAAAAGAAAACTAATGTGTACTTGATATTAGAAGTTTCACCTAAATTTGTGAAATATTTGCCTAAGAACTCAATTAATTTGGGAATTTGTTGACCCAGCTTCTCAACGGGAGGGGTCCTACAATTTATGTGAACATTTTTTCGGGTGAAGCGACCACAAAATTTCCTTGGGGGAGTGAGTTTTCTTTGTTACCTCTTTTCTCTATAACTCCTTTTTTTTTTTTGTTGCATATATTATTTTCTCTACAAAATATGATTTTTGCAGATCTTAGCATATGCTATAGGCTTGGGGAAAATTGTAATGACAATTGCTCTAATACTTGCGAGGCTGGGCAAGGGTATCCCTGATAATCAAGAACTTGATGAGGATATGGCTATTACTCAGCATTCTAAGAATAGAAGGATTATAGGTGACACTCATTGTTTGTCCTATGGCATTATTTGGTCAATGGAATTTGAGTTTATTAGTCTGTAGCCCCTTTCTTACTTAATGACAACATGAAATTAATGTAACTGATATTGATCGTAATTCTTATAAAATGATGAACTTGAAGAAGCACATTCAAAGCCATATAGCATTTCTGTTTTTGTTCATTATGGTTGGGACAAAAGTAATGCCCGTGGACTTGACAACCTATGGTCTTCTAATTTTGTGCGTATAAGTCTGTAAGTGATTCTGCCATTTTTCAGATGAGTATCAGTTCTGTTCATTTGGTTTTATGCCTACTGCTACTTGTTATGGACCATATTGATTAACAAGTTTCTAACTTTAATTTAGGATGGGGAGAGTAGCATATTCCTTAAAGTTGATTGGCGTCGAATTGTACTTGGATGAAACACACACCATAAAGAATTGGAGGACTATGAGTGCTAGGGCTGCATAGGACTATGAGTGCTAGGGCTGCATAGGACTATGAGTGCTAGGGCTACATTCACATTGTCTGCACGTTGCAGGTGGTGTCTTACTAGTACTCCACTTAAGGTATATTCCTCATATGAGTGCCCCAATTATCATGCTTCCTAAAAAAATTAAGTCTTGTGTAAGACCGTCTCATTGAGAAACATAATACTTTTTAGACTGTTCTCGATATCTGGTTTAGTTAATGATGTCCTCACTATTAGGACTCTATATATATGAGTCTGTTTAGAACTTCTTATCCTTGTCACACTGTGACTCTCTACTTCTTATCATTGTCACACTGTGATTCTCTATTCTATATATTCACATCATCTGATCTCATTGTAATTAAGTTCAGTAAAATACAATACAATCAGTTCTCATCTGGTATCAGTAAGCTAGGGTTTTTTCTTTGTCTCTCATCCCTATGGCTGACGAATCTGTTAATTCCTCCGAACGGACCGTGTCTGATGCTGCTATGTCGTCAAATTCGTCGTCAATTGTGTTGTTATCCACCGCACATCACTTCATCAGTACGAAGTTAACCTACAAGAATTATTTGTTCTGGCGTACGCAAGTCATCCCGTTTCTTCACGGGCATGACCTAATGGGGTTTGTTGATGGTATGAAACCCTCACCGGCTGTTCTTCTTGCTGCCGACGCCGACACCACCGACGCCATGCCACGGCCGAACCCCGCCTATGCCGTTTGGATGCGTCAAGATCAAGCATTGTTGTCCATGCTTGTCTCCTCCCTCTCCGACGAGGTCATGCCAATCGCCGTCGGACGTCGCACGAGTCGTGCCCTTTGGGTGGCCATTGTTCAGACGTTGTCGTCTTCCTCCCGCGACCGCGCGTTAAACCTTCTCGGCCAGTTGCAGGGACTGGACCAGGGTGATTCATCGGTTGCGGATTACATCGGGCGAGCTCAGGTGATTGTTGAAGAGCTCACCCTCGCCGGCAGCGTCGTCTCCCTCGACGATCAGAATCTCTTTGTTATTCGTGGCTTGAGACCGGAATTCCGTGCCCTCACCGCGTCTCTTGCCGTCCGTGGGCAGCCGGTCACGCTCCAGGAGTTGGCAGACTTCCTCGGCGGTGCTCCGGCGGTTCTTGCTGTTCAACGCGGTGGCGGCCGATCAGGTCGCGGAGGTCAGAACCGTGGCGGTGGTCAACGAGCAGGCGGTGGCAACGGCGGGTCCAATCGTAGTAGTGGCGGTAGACAGCAAGGTGGCCGTGGGCGTGGTGGCCGCGGTCGCGGACGCAACAGTGGTGGCAATCAGGTTCAGTGCCAGATATGTAGGCGGACTGGTCACGAGGCTTATGTATGCTATAACCGGTATGATTCCCCACCTCAGGCCAATCTAACATATCAAGATAATTCAGATGTTGGTACTCCTCAGACATGGATCCCGGATACAGGGGCAACTAATCATGTTACTCCGGACATTGCTGCTTTGACCACCTCAGAAGAATATGTTGGCAATGACACCTTGCGTGTCGGTGACGGTATGGGTTTATCTATTAGTCATGTTGGCCATGCTTCTTTTAATACCCCTTCTAGATCATTCACATTGTCTGATATACTTCACGTTCCACGTTTGTCTAATTCTTTATTATCTGTTTAGAAGTTTGCATCCGATAATAAAGTCTTTTTTGAGTTTCACCCCTCTTTTTTTGTTGTGAAGGATATCAATACCAAGGAAATACTTCTTCGGGGCAATAGTTCTGGGGGACTATACACACTTCCATTACCTAGTTTGTCTCCGTCAGCGTTTCTTTCCGCTCGTGCCTCGGCTTCCACTTGGCACAATCGTCTGGGTCATCCTCATAACCGTGTTCTTAGCCATATACTTCGATCTTGTTTAGTTAGTGGATCTCGTGATAATATTCGTTGTACTAATTCTTTATGCAATGCGTGTCAATTAGGCAAATCTGCCCGTTTTCCCCTCCCTCGTGTTGCTTCCTCTAGTTCTCATGTACTAGATCTTATTTACATAGACATTTGGGGTCATGCGCCCACTTTATCTACATCTGGCTTCCGTTACTTTGTGATCTTTGTGGATGACTATTCTCGTTATACATGGTTCTTCCCTATGAAATTAAAATCTGATCTCTATGTCATCTTTGATAAATTTCGTACTCTTGTTGAACGGTCCTTTAATTGCAAAATAAAGGCCATTCAGTCTGATTTAGGTGCTGAGTACAAAAAGTTGCATTCTTCGTTTGTTCAATTAGGAATTCAACATAGACAATCCTATGCCTATACACATGAACAGAATGGTCGTGTTGAACGAAAACATCGTCACATTGTTGAAATTGGTCTGGCTCTTCTAGCTCATGCCTCTGTTCCTTTGAAATTTTGGGATTTTGCCTTTGAGACTGCTGTCTATTTAATTAACAGAATGCCATCTTCTGTATTAAATAACTCCAGTCCTCATCTCCTGTTACATAAATCCCCTCCTTCCTATCTTCTTCTTCGTGTCTTTGGGTGTTTATGCTACCCTTATCTTCGACCATATAATCGTCATAAGATGTCATACAGGTCTTCTCCATGTGTCTTCCTGGTTATCCTGAGTCATTTAGGGGGTACAGATGCATGAACTTACATACTAATAAGATTTACACATGCAGGCATGTCAGATTTGATGAAGAAATTTTTCCCTTTGCTACTAAAACTTCTTTGCAGGATCTATCTACTCCGTTTTCTGGACCTTGGGCGGAATCTGTTCTCAATCACAGCACACCTATTCCTGCCGTGTCCAATGATGAGCTGCCAGAACCGCCGCTACCTGCTTCATTTGAACCAGCTGTGGATCCCGGACAGGCTGGCTCGTCGGGTGATCCTGTGGAGCCTGTTGCTCGTCGGCGAGGCCGTCCACGTGGGCGGTCCATCATGCCCAATGTCCGTACTCACTCTATGGCCACTCGCAGTAACGCAGATGCTCCTCTTTTTGCTCTAGCAGCTTAGTTGCATCCCACGGAACCCACATGTCACTCTCAAGCGGTCAAATATCCTGAGTGGCGTGAAGCCATGGACCAAGAATTCAATGCTCTCCTGCATAACCACACATGGTCTCTAGTTCCACCCACTGCAGGTATGAATATTATTGGCTGTAAATGGGTGTTTCGTACGAAGAGAAAGGCTGATGGTGCTATTGAAAGGCATAAAGCCAGGCTGGTTGCGAAAGGTTTTAATCAGGTTCCAGGTCAGGACTTCTTCGACACTTTTAGTCGAAGGTTCCAGGTCAGGACTTCTTCGACACTTTTAGTAAAGCCTACGACTGTAAGACTCCTTCTATCTCTAGCTTTATCATCTGTGTGGTCTATCAAACAGCTAGATGTTCATAATGCTTTTCTGAATGGTAATCTGGCTGAAACAGTTTATATGAAGCAACCCCCTGGTTATATTGATGCTAACTTCCCGAATCATGTTTGTTTGTTAAAAAGATCTCTGTATGGGTTAAAACAAGCTCCCAGAGCTTGGTTTAATCGACTACATACGTTCTTACTATCGGTTGGCTTTCAAGCATCCAAGACAGATGTCTCTCTGTTCTATTACTCTAAAGACTCTGCTTTGGTTTATCTATTGGTGTACGTGGATGACATTCTTCTAATGGGAAGTGATCAGGGTATTATGTCTCAGCTCTTGTCCAAACTGTTTGCTACATTCAAAATCAGAGATCTTGGTGAACCAAATTTCTTTCTGGGTATTGAAACAGTTAACAGTGACAATGGGATTATTTTATCTCAACAACGGTATATGAATGATATTTTAAAACGGGCTGGAATGTCTGAATGCAAACCCCTTTCTACACCTATCTCTGTCTCGAAAACTGTCCCCTTCAATTCAGATCTATATGATGATCCCACACAGTACAGAAGTCTAGCTGGAGCACTGCAATATCTCACTGTCACACGACCTGAACTATCCTTTGCAGTTAATCAGTTATGCCAGCATATGCATGCTCCCACCATATCACACTGGGAACAACTCAAACGGGTACTCAGGTATGTTAAGGGAACAGTTGATCATGGTTTACGCATACGACGGTGCTCATCTAGAGACATTTATGCTTTCTCTGATTCTGATTGGGCTGGTTGTCCTGACGATCGAAAATCCACGAGTGGTTTTGCTGTTTTCTTGGGGAGTAATCTTATATCATGGGTTTGCAAGAAACAGAGAACTGTTTCCAGGTCATCCACTGAGGCTGAATACAAAGCTCTTGCAGATGTTTGTGCTGAGGTTCTATGGATTATGTCATTACTGTGTGAGATACAGATTCCGGGTATTTCCATTCCAAAATTATGGTGTGATAATCTAGGAGCTACATATATGAGTGTCGATCCAATCTTTCATGCACGCACTAAGCATGTGGAGATTGATTATCATTTTGTTCGTGATCGAGTAGCTTCGGGCGATATCCAAGTCAACTTCATCTCCACAAAAGATCAACTTGCTGATATCTTCACCAAAGCTCTGCCTGGACCTAGATTTTCATCCTTAAGGGACAAGCTACAGGTTACTAGTATACACTGTGCTTGAGGGGGAGTATTAGGACTCTATGTATATGAGTCTGTTTAGAACTTCTTATCCTTGTCACACTGTGACTCTCTATTCTATTTATTCACATCATCTGATCTCATTGTAATTAAGTTCAGTAAAATACAATACAATCAGTTCTCATCCTCACTAATTGCTGCAGAATAATGTGCAAGATCTTTACAGCCTTTTGTGTTTCTTGCATGTTGAGTCATAGTGAAATTGGCCATGATATGTCTTATTTATTACTCCGTACTAATTGTATATACAATGACAATTCCTAAGTCATTAATGTTTAGGAGAACAAAGAAAACAAAGGACAAGGAACAGAGGTAGTCTATTGCCTTTTTTTTCCTCATTTTTTTAATACCCAAAGTTTACTTGAGAGGCAAAGCTTTGTTGGGAAAATAGCAGCAATGTCAACAAATCCTGACAACTTTTAAAGAAAAGAGAACAAGCAAGTGGTGAAACCGAGTCTGTGTCGTATTATATAACACTGCCTTTAAAACGTTATTTGCCCGGTGACGGTGCGGTCAAAATAAATCGGTACGCTTTCGACAGGTAACACAGACGTTCTACAAACAACTTTTGCACCCATTAGTCGTAGACGAACCTGACTCAGTGCTCAGACAGGGATTATAACAGAGAAGGCTCAAAACTTCTCCAAATGAAGGAATGAAGATATACACACTTTGTAATTGTGTAAGAGAGAAGGGAAGCTCAAGAGAGAAAGGAAGCTCAAGTCTTGTGTGTTTCTTTACTAAATGAAGCCTTGTTTATATACTGCTAGAGCTTCAACAAACCTTCACAATTTCAGCCACACACAAACTAAATCAAAGGAGAAAAGGACATGTGTTCCATGACCCAAGAAAATAGCTCTCCTTTGAATAACTCCAACAAGCTTTACCTGGCAACATATTGATGTCTTGTTGTTTTGAATTAGGCCAATTCTTGTCTTGCCACCAACTGATATCCAAGTTATTGAGTGTGAGCAGTCGGAAGCATAATACGATTTCTATGATGCCTTATACAAAAAAATCTTACCAAGAGAGTGGAAAGAACTTTTCATCTTAAAGAAAACGGGAAATCTACCATCTTCCATGATAGCGTCACGTTGAATGAACTACTTGCGTTATATTGTTTTTTATAACACATACTTTTAGTTATAAATGGAATTTAAGTAATACGTAGACTATTGTGCTGGAATATTGTTAAATGCTATTATTTGACAAGTATTATTTACAATTGATTTTTTTAATATGTAGAATTGATTTTCATTTAATATGTAAACTTCTTTGAATATTGTTAAACATTAATATTTGGCAATATAAATTACATTTGATTTTCTTTTAAATTAAATGTGTATTTATTTGTGTTTGTTTTGCACATTTGAAAGTAGAGATTTACAACAAAAAATAATTTAATGGAAATTACACAAATGTATAACAAAAAATACCAAACAAATTTTATTAGCAATTAAGAACAATCACTTTTAGATGAGAAAATACTAAGAGAAAATGAAAATATATTTTAGCGATAGTTATAAAACCACTACTAATAACACTAAAACTAAAAAGTTTTTTTTTTTTTTTACTAGCGACACTTAAATATTAAATAAATATTAGCGGCTAAATGCAATCAAAACCGTCGCAAAATATTAAATAAATATTAGTGGCGGTTTTAAAACCGCCGCGAAATAAGTTTCCCATTAGTTTCCGCGGTAGATGAAAATCGCAGAATCCTTCGCGACACACTATTTAGTAACGGATGGAAAATCGTCGCTAGACTATATTGTGGCGATTTGAAACCGCCGCTAAATGACCTTTTTGGTGTAGTGTAGTAGCATCATAAGTTTCATTCTTTTTCCCTCACACACTAATGTAACTTTCTTTCTCCTGGTTGGTTCTTTTACCATACATGAAATGCTTCTCACTTGGCTCGACAATGGTTGCCTCTTGTTTCTGAACATCAGTTCCGGTTTCATTGGTCTCCTTAAATGTGCTATTTTGATGAGATGCAGCTTCGGTAATTGGAGAAGCAACATCAATGGCCTCCTTGAACAGGCTCGTCTTGCTATTGGAAGATTTCTTTGTTTTGCTGTTTAAGTTGGTATTCTGAGATGGCAACTTAGGAAGGGACTTCCGTTGAGTCCTTTTAGCATTAACAAGAGAAAGTCCCTTGGCAGGGTTATCCCAGGGACCTTTTTCATCTAAGCTCAACCTACTAGGGTGCTTGAGAGATTTGGGTCTTGTAGGAGGAATCTGGATCCCAACAAGGCACTAAAGCTACTAATTCTTGTGTCTTATAGAATATGGAGTATCTCAAAACTCAAAAGCAAAGCACAAATATTTTGCGTGAAGCTTCTCAATTGGACATAGTAAACATTGTTTTCATCATTTAGTTGGAGTCACTGAAAGCAAAATGAAATAGAGAAAGTGTGATATAACAGAGGAAATAAGGGCATGAATTGCAGTTGTAAACCTTTTCTTGATTACTAATTAATCATCAGGAACTAGCTACAGATATTATATATCTTCTTTAAAGTTTAAACCATGGAAGAGATGAGAGGGAGGCTAAACTTTAAACTTTAAACTTTAAAACCAAAGCAAGAACAAGTAGGAGAATGAGAATCCCAGTTGATGAACCACCCACCCTGTGAATCCAGTATGGATCAAACCTGGTAAAGCTTCTGTCAAAGTACCCAGACATTGCTATGGCAATGATGAGAGCCAACAACAAAAAAGGTTGCAGAACAGAAAAGGCATTGGCAGACTGCTCTTCATACACCGCCTCCTCCCTCCTGTCGATGTACAGCGGGGAGACTACTGCAACGACAGTCACGCCTATCGCCACCACCCTCCTATACGACGAGAATCTCGTCAGGCCACGAGCTATCCCGACCACCATGATCATGATCAATATCAGCAGAGGCAAGTAGGAAGAGACCACGCTCACAGTTTCTTCATCGGGATCGGGCTCTGTGCTCCTCCTTCTGTCAATGTATAGAGGCGACATTACTGCAAGAAGTCCAAGGCCTATCGCTAAAAGCCTTTGATCATTCGACGAGCTGATGTGCCTCCTGCTCAGAGATCCCTGTTCCATTTCACAAAGATTATCCTAGGAGAAACACCAAACTCTTTCCTTTAGGACTCACCTAGATTCCTGCTAAACATTTTATCAACTCCTTAGTCCTTACTATGCTCTCAAAAATCCCCTTTTTAAAACTATATATATATATATATATATATATAATATATATATATATATATATATATATATATAATATATATATATATATATATATATATATATATATATATATATATTATATATATATATATATATATATATATATATTATATATATATATATATATATATATATATATAGATTCTATTGTTCAATTAGGATGTCAAAAGTTCAATCTACACCCTTCAGATGTAACCAAAAAGCACCAAACTCAGTGATTTATTCCTGATAGATAAGGGTAATTATTCTTTTGCATCTCTGCAGAAAATATGCTTTAAAATGAAAAGATGCCCTTTGTAAAGAAGCAACATGAAAAAGTTTTATATTCTTCCAGAAGCTAAGAAATTGGCAGCTTAAGAATCAACTTATCAACATATATGGATGCAAATCTGTGGTGGTGTATCTGGAATCTGATTCTGGCAGCATCAGCAGCCTGAAAGTGACTTTTTTTTTTTTTTTTTTTAAATTTTTTTTTTATTGAAATAACAAAGAAATCTAGTTCAAGCATAGAATTGTGAATTTACGCCTTGTTTAGTATCAAAACTGAGAACAGTTTCGAGATGTTTACCACGCATTACTGAACGAGGACATCATCGTATGACACATTCAATCCTAAGACGGTATGAATTACATACAAATAAACAGGAGATGGTAACTTATTTGTTACCACCAGCAGACTTCGGCCTGTTTCCAGCACTACGCCGTCTCATCCATTTCCTCTGTGACATGGTAAGACGAGGCTCCATTGTATGAGGCAGATCATCCCGAGACACGCCTGTAGGTGGTGGGAGCTCAGCGGGAAGTGCAGAAGCTGTGCTCGTAAAGGCATTTAACACGAGAAATGCCAGTATGGGTGAAAGATCCAGAGTCCCTCCAAGTGGTGGGATAATGCCACGGAATATATTCAAATACGGATCACACAAGGTGCTGAAAAGAAACACCAACCTCGTTACAAATATCTAATGGTATCAATATTTTAAAGTTTCAACATATTTGACATCTATCCGCTCAGCCAATGCTTAGATGAGATGTTTGTAAGTAATTTTAAGTCTGTCTAGCCATTAGGAATTGGGGGATTTAAAAAATGATTATTGCAAATATTCAAGACAAAATGCCATTTTTTATAAGAAATTTGCATGGTTTTTAACGTTTTAAACAGCAGCTGTAACAGAAAACGCTGCATTAATTCATTTATAGATACTACAAGGGAGTGGAGGCCTGTAAAGACAGAAAAATATTGAAATGCTTAGGAAAGAAATTGACACTTTAGTTTGAACAAAAACTGAAATTTTAGATTTACCTGAGGGGACTGACAATGGCGGGGGGAGCATTAGGAAACCAGGTTAAAACAAGCCTGACAACGAGTAACGAGTTATAGATGTTCAAGAAATTCAAAATTCCATTAGTGACCACAATTCCCGCCACTGAATCACCCGGTATAATGGCTGCAAAATTATGACTGGATAGAGTATTGAAATTCTGGCGAGCTCTGCGTTCAATCTGGAACTGAAGTTTAAATATGGTAAGAGTATGTGGATAGTAATCAAAATGATGGTAAATTATGATTGGAAATGTACACGAGTTATCCCTATAAATGTAGAAACTGGAAGAGGAAAAGAGGTAAGAACACATATTGATGTCTTTCAATATGCGTAATAGAAAATGAATCTAGACAACACATAATGCTAGTACTAGTGGTACAAGTACATAAATCATGACACATTTATAACTCGAGATTAAATTGACATGGAGATACAATTAAGAAAACATCCAGGTCAGCGTGTCTTGATAAAGATTTGGGAAAATGAATCTAACCAAGTGTCGGCAAACTAATTAGCAATCCGTCTTAAATGTGCTTGTAACCTTGTTAATCACATTTTTTACATTGACTTTCACTTTGTCACATCTCCCTTCTCAACCTTGCAAAAACACTTGCATTATAC